TGCTGCTGTGCCATACAGCCCAGGTCGTCAGGGCTGCAATCTCGCAGTGCTTTCAGATCTTGTGGAAGTTGTGGCTCGGACTGTAGCTGCAGCCATGCGGTGTCATCACATTGCGCATCCTGACATGAAGCATATGCACCAGCCACCAATGTCAAGAAGCCCCTGGCCCCAAACATGTCAAAACGTCTCGAAATAAAAAGTGGAACCAAAATGCTGCCGTTGCATACAGATTATACAATGTTTACGTATACAGTTTGTGGCTGAATGCAGCCTTCAAAGCTTATGGTCAACACACTTGGCAAGTCTTCTGCATCAACACTCTGATCAACTCCCACAACGACTTGTGAGATTCTTTTGTCTGATGTGCAAACATTCGTGACACCAACCTCCCTGGCATTCTGCGACACCAACCTCCAGCTACTGCCTGAAACCCTACCATAACCATTCATGGGGATCAACTGGGGCAGTTTTGTGGAACCGCCAGAGAGACCTCGAGTTCACGACCCTCGAGTTCACGACCAATCTCAGCCTCCAATTCTTCCATGCATCACCAATTCTACACCTCGGCCGCTTATATAGCTCTTTCTGCAAGTTCTGGCACCATGAGGCTTGGCACTAAACCCGATGAATCCGATGAAAAACTTCCCAGAAACCCCACCAAAACAATAGAAACTGATTGCATTTCGAAGGAAACGAAGAAGCCAAGAAGACCTTAACACATCGGCGCATCCAAACCACCAAGCACTGACTAGGACCGGTGGGTCTTTGGAGCGCCCACCGGTGGCCGGTTCGCTCTCCTCAACCAGCTCCGCGGCTCCGCGGCTCCGTGGTCCACGGGTACAGCTGGCGGAGAGGTGTAGTGGAAGGTGTGTGCGTTTTTGGGGGTCCAACACCTGGAGGTATGTGAAAAAAGAACGATAGACATTTAATCCAAGAAGCAATAGGAAACTGGTAATGTTTGGGGATTGGTTTCGGGTACATCCCATCACCAGTGATATTCATGTTTACCGACTGTTACTGGTAGTAGGACACACCCGTAGATGAGTTCATATTCTATCTATTCCTGCTTAGACCAATCAACATCCCAACGCATGACGACCCGACTTGAAGATCCCCCCAAAAAAGAAACTCCACATCCTGCCAAGAGTGGCGTCTTTTTCAATTCTTCACTCGATCCCCCGAGCACGGTTCGTATGGGTCAAGGACTGGAGATTTCTGCGTTTTCTGGAACAGAGGAAAGAACTGGAATCCTGGAAGAACTTTGTTCCTCCTACCTAGGGCATGATTGGGTGGTTGGGATCAGCTTGACCGCTTCGAAATGTCCAAACTGGTAAAGTTCATGCACTGTTCTTCGTCATCAAAACATCCGATCATCCAAGGCATGTCACCTAACCTCCCATCCCAGCCCCACCAAGCGGCAGGACGGACAAAGAGGTCAAGGGATCTTTCACCACGCTTCCATCGCTCCTGACGATGACAGATCGAATGCAAATCTTTCGTACGAATGCACTGCACCGGGAGATTCCCTTTTAAAGACAAAGAGAGCGACGAGGTGCTTGATTTCTCACCAATGATGTGCAAAGGAATTCAGTGAACGCTGAACCGCTCAACTGAAAGGACCAAAGCCAAGAGATTGTGCTGGAAGAGGGGCATATCTCGCCGTATCTCTGCTAGTTACAGCATGAAGTTCACTGGATATGAGCCAAACATTATATCCTCAAGCATTCTTCCCCATCTTCACGGTCATCTACTGGACCTGGCCATCGAAGAAGCTGGACAGACCACCACTACCACTATTACAGCAGGTAGCAAAGTATATAAGTACCCCTCTAAAGGAGCGCCGAAAGCAAACATGGAACCTGAAGACACAACCTTGGCAGGAACTGTCCCTCTACAATGCAAAAGTTTTGCACACCTCAAAACATAATCTTGGCAGGAACTGTTCCGCTACACTGCAATTGTTTCCGACTGTCAATGTCCTCGACAGGCTCAGTGGCCTCTGTGCGTATCTATGCGCGAAGAAAGACCAACGCTCATGGCTCTGGTCTCTGTACATGTTGCGCTAAAAGTCATGCCAACTGCGACTCATGAGAACTACTACCAAGGCTCAGGGCTCTGGTAGCAACAACTGAGGGCAGTGGACAATGACCGATTCATGCAAAGGAACATCTTCAATGTTCAATGAGCTCCTACCCATGGGTTCGGATAGAACAACTCAGAGTCGGTTCTCAAGCCGAAGCCGGTCTCTTGCCTTGTTGGGCACATGCTTTTGCTGAAGACACGGGCTCCAAAATGCTCCAAACACATCTCAAACGATATGGACGACAAATGACTAATGATCCAACACAAACAGGTTGAGGTGGTTGGAGATCGGTCTGTATTTCATCAAAAGTCTCTCCCCCAAAAGAGCACTCCAACCCTGCAAACACATTTCACGTTCTTTCAAGCCGAGTCTCACAACCATGGGACTCTGGTCATCTTCACCGGTCGAGACCGATCGATCTGATGGATCCTGAGAACCTCGAGGAGCATCGGACGGCACCACGTTCTTCAGCTCCTGGCAGAGCTTCCAGTTCCGCGAGATGCCGCGCAAGGCCTGCGCGATGAGCGCCTCGTCCTGCTCCAGGGCCAAGATGTGCTTTTCCCTGCAAAGCTCGAAGCCTGGGATGAGAAGGTGCCGTAGGTAGGGGTGTGTGTGTGTGTCCACCCCTGTTTCCAAGGGCACTACTCTAGCTATTCCTACTACTTCAGCTAAGCACTTTTGTACAGACCATGAGCAGGGGGG